AATCTTTTTAGCAAGGCCTGTTGTGTCAGGACAAGAAGTAATGGATTTAAACTAAAGGATGATAGACTTAGACTGGATATAAGGAAGAAATTTTTGGTGTGAAGTGGTGAAGCACTGTAAGGGGTGCTGGTGAAAAGTGGTGAAGCACTGGAAGGGGTTGCCCAGAGAGGTGGGAGATGCCCCATCCCTGGAAACATCCCAGGCCAGGTTGGACGGGGCTCTGAGCACCCTGCTCTGGTCAAAGCTGTCCCTGTCACTGCAGGGGCTGGGCTGGGTGGCCTCTAAAGGTCCCTTCCCACCCAAACCATTCTATGATTCTATGATTCCTTGCGAGATCGCTTTCCTGCCTCTTTTCTGGCTCAGGCTGCTGGTCCTGCCGCTGTTGACAAGCAAAGAGCAACAGCGGCACGAGGTTTGACCGGGAAACGCTGCTCAGCCCCTTTCCAGATCCCATCCGGTTCTTGCAGGCAGGGCTATTATTCTCCATAAATAGCTCGGCGCTGCATTTCCTCCATGTTGCTTTGCTTTCACAAGCCCAGAAGTTTGACAAGGGGATAATTCTCAATAAATCTCCAGGTTTCCCTCCTGCTGGAGGGACAGGCCGCTGTCTCCCCCAGCCCAGGCTTTTCTTCCCTTCCTCTCTCCAGCAGAACGTCTCCGCTGAAGCCCAGCAGAACGCCAGCGTGGCCATCCTGCCCGTGGTGGCCACCAATGCCACCTGCTCCATCCGTGTGGCTGCCATCACCAAGGGGGGAGTGGGACCCTTCAGCAGCCCCGTGGAGGTCTTCATCCCTGGCAGCGGTAAGGAGATGCCCGTCCCTGCTCGTGCGGTGTGGGTGCAGGGGAGGATGATGAGGAAGCACACAGGGCGTGCTTTCCTTGCCCGGCCATGGCCATTTGCATCCCTCCATCCTCCTTCAGACGCTTTCCCCGTCGGCCAGGCTATCGGCCAAGAATCTGGGATCTTCAGCATGCTTTGGTAGCCAGGAGAGACTTGCTCTCCACGTACAACCTTGGTCCTCATGCCCTCTTCTCCCGTGTAACCCTTTGGGCTTTACTGGGTTTGATTTCAGCCCCTGGGAAATCCTGCCCCAACCCCTGGGTGCTGCAGGCTGACCCCTTCACCAGCTCCATTAATGGGATATTTTCTTAGGATTAATAAACTCAGCCCCGTCTTCAGCTCCAGCCTTCGGGAACGCGGACTCCTTTATCATAGCCCTGGGCTTTATCTGCGGGACGATTGCCGTCGGGCTGATCCTCTGCTTGTCCGTGGTCATCCAGAAAAGATGCGTGGAAACAAAATACGGGTAAGCCGAAGGGAAGACAGCTTGCAGAGGTGCCCCGAGCTGGGCAGGTCGCAGGCACGTGGGGCGTGGGTGGGCAGGCAGGGTGGGCGGCCAGCAGCCCACGCTGGACGCGGGGAGAAGAGTTCTGGCGCCTGGACTGATGTCATCCCCACAAATGGCATTTTTTTATGCCTATGGCGAGGGACTGAGTGTATTTTTACTGTGGCAATGGTACTTCCCCTCCTTTCCTTAGCCCAGCAGTTCACCTTTCGCTTACTATTCCTATTTTTAAAGGGAAGTAAACTTGTGCAACTTGGCATGGGAGGGTGGCCTCAGCATTTTGACGCAGAGGTGAGAGAGCAGACATGTGTAATATCCTGTGGCCTAGAGAAGCCCCTCCTGCCTCGTCACACACCAAATACAGTCCTGGCACCAGCCCTGCCAGGCAGAGAGACTGCCACTGGGCTGCATGAGTGCTGTTTTAATGATGCGGGCAAAGGACTGGTTTCTGCTACAACAAGCCAACGCTACTCACTCAGCCTTGTGACTTTCTAAGTGGTATTTAACTGCCCTGTGCTACTGGTTTTGTTCAAGAGTTGTGGTGCTAGCAGCTTTTCTTGCAAGCGCTATCGCTTGGGTGTCCACTGCCAAACTGGATGTGCGATCTAATTAACTCCTTTGGAAGAATATTGTTTCGGTAAGGGGGTTTATTGAGCTGGTGAAGGAATCCCACCTGCTCTGATCTCCCACGCCACCACCCCCATCCCAGTTTGAAAACTGGTAGTATGTAAGGATCCCGTTCCTAACTGGTGTAGCATTGTTGCTCTTCCCTTGCGATGCTAGCACCTCGGGAGCTCTTGAGCGTCTGCTGTGTTTTCGTTTCCCAGAGCCGGACCTCTGCGCGGCCCCGTACCGGAGGGGTTGCACAGCATCTTGCAGCAGCGTGCCCGTCGCCACCGTTTCAGGGCCATGGTGTGAAGCTCCCTTTAGTTTCTTTTTGGCTAACAGATGGGGGTTGCACATGCTAACAGAGAGGACTGACAGGCTGGAGTTGTGCGTCGGGCAAAAGAGATGGCTTTAGAAGGTGGTAGATCTGGGCACCGTGTTCCTACTGGTACAGACTGCTCTCTGAGTAGGAAATGAGTATCCCATTTCCTCCCCAAAACCCCTCTGTGACTCACTCCTTGTCAGCTTGGCCTTGTTTATCAAGTGGCTGTTTTGCTCAGACGTTGTAAGCGATGGCACTGCTCCAGTAAGAGGGAAATGAAAAAGATCAGCATGAATGTGCTTATTTCCTCCTTTACTACCGATACCCCTGGTAGGGCTGTGGTTGCCCACTCGTGCAGCGGCGGTTCCTTCATCGGAGGAGAAGCAGCCGCACGTGGCCCAGCAGAGTCTGTTTCTGTCCCACCAGGAATGCTTTCAGCGGGACCGACTTGGAGCTGGCAGTGAACTACAGAGCCAAGAAGACCTACTGCCGGAGAGCTGTTGAACTTACGCGTGGGTATATTATTTTATCCCTCTGCAAGGAGGTTGACAGGGATGTCACAGCAGCGATATGTCTGCAGGTTGGAGGTGACCTGAGCTTCTGTTCCTCTCTCCTGCAGTGGGCAGCCTGGGCGTCAGCAGCGAGCTCCAGCAGAAGCTGCAGGATGTTGTTGTGGACAGAAAAGCCCTCAGCCTGGGGAAGGTCCTGGGAGAGGGTGAGTGCTGGGGTTGGAGAGCTGGGGATGGACACATGGGGCAGTGGCTGCCACTGTTACCTACACCATCCCCCAGCTCCAGGCGACGTGGGGGAGATGGTGGGTCAAGATGACCAAGTGCCAGGACCCCTGGGCTCAAGTCTGATGAGGAGTGGCTGAGGGAGCTGGGGGTGTTCAGCCTGGAGAAGAGGAGGCTGAGGGGGGACCTCATCGCTCTGCAGCTCCTGACAGGAGGGGGCAGGGAGGGGGGTGTTGGTCTCTTCTCCCAAGGAACAAGCGATAGGACGAGAGGAAATGGCCTCAAGTTGCATCAGGGGAGGTTTAGATTGGATACTAAGAGCAAATTCTTCATGGGAAGAGGGGGCAAGCA